ATAACTTAAGAAAAAAGCCAATTAAATCGGGGTATTATCAATATCATCAAGGTAAAGATAATACTAATACATACTAATAAAAGTGACTGTTCGATATCACATATGTACTTTATCTTCCATATACTGTATATGTGACTCCTGTGTATGATAATATATGAATGATGTATGATGTATGAATGTATACTCAGTCACTATTAAACATGTAAAGGTAAAACAGAATCATAAATTGTTTAACACTGTCAGACTCCAGCATGTATGACTGTACGCTTATCATTTATAATATCTGCCATTTATATCTACAAACACGTAACTAAACTTTATCTCCAATATATTACCCTGAACATACATTCATTCACTATTAAACAATGCATGATCACGAAATACACACCTATTCACTATGTATGACTATTTAACATAACCATAATACAGTTTAATAAGTATAAGTCATATATACAATTAGATAATCTTTAACACCTGTGTATACCTGGGAGCTAATAATAATCACATATAATCTAGTATAAAACCACAATCACATTTACCTAACCTATGGGACTTTAAACACATGACACACACTTTATAACACATATGACTAAATTTAACACATATGACTGAACACACATACATATGACTAAACACACAAACACATATACAACTAAAACCACAAACATATATAACTAAAAAACCCATAAAACTAAACGCACAAACACACATAAGACTAAACAATCACACACGCACACACACGCACACACACACACACACAACCTAACACATACAACAGTAAACATACAATCACACTTTATCTAACATATACACAGGAACACAACCCATGCTATAGCCTACCCTGGTCCGGTGAAATACACTTGGTATTAATTACTGTGTATTGTATTGCACCCCACTCCACCTCGCTCCCTTTATATCAGAGGCGATATTACCTGAGATTATGCCTTACATATTATCACGCTGGCTGCCCGAGTCAACAATAACCCAACTTAACTTTTACATTTGTTTAGTTGTATTTTTTTGTCTTTTCTTGTATTATAAATTTTCTGCTCTGATATGTGTCGCTATCTGTTGTGTGGAACTTGTTGTCTTTAAGGAGAATTTTAGTAGCTGGTGTGTGTGTGTGTGTGTGTGTGTGTGTGTGTGTGTGTGTGTGTGTGTGTGTGTGTGTGTGTGTGTGGTGCGTTCCTCGACCCCTTTCTCCACCCCGGACAGGATCAGTGGTTGTGGGTTTGCTTTGCCTGTTTGTATCTCTCTCTCTCTCTCTCTCTCTCTCTCTCTCTCTCTCTCTCTCTCTCTATCTATCTATCTATCTATCTATCTATTTGAACATTATATATAACATGAATTGGTCAATTTAAATCAAACATGGCAGGTAAAGGTTGATTAGGTTTGCCAAGATTAAGATAGGTTAGGGTAAGTTAAGTTAGGTTAGGGTAGGGACATGAGGACAAGAGTTTAGGTCACAGTGAACTAACCTATAACCTAACGTAACATAAATTAACCTAACCAAACCTAACACTGCTTGCCCAAACCTAACCTAACTCAACCTAACATAACGTAACCTAACCTAACCTGTCGTCTTTGTCGTTAAAAAATCATAGTTTATATTTCAATACTTCCCAAACGATTGTTGTTAAAACTTAGGGTCAAGTACCTTGGTTCAATACGTCCAAAGACATTTTTTTCGCCATTTTTTATACCTTCACCGTTCCGATATTGGGAGACCAAAGATCATATTGTATTGGCTTGTTGATTTTTGCACGAGGTTGGGTATGGCTGCAGAACTCAGTGGGAATTTAATGTTGCTTACCGTCATAGGAGAAAAACTTATTTAAACTCGTTAATCTCATCCTCATTACTTTCTCTTTGATCATTTATACTCTTGAACAGATCTTTTTATTTACGAATATAACATCTGGTTTACATGAAGAACAACCTAGGGAATATAAGCTTGGTGTAGATATAAAAGATTCTGTATATTGAAACTTGCCGTGTGTTATGTTGACAAACCAATTAAGCAGAGATATAACACCGCCGTAACACAAAATCTTTACCATTGTCACTTTAAATGTTGCTATCCTTGATTGTACCATTATCGGCTGGGTTTTCTTTCTTGTAATAAAGACAAAAAAAAATTCCCATCAAGCAAATCCTTTTAAAAAATAAACAGAAACTTAGTAAACAGAATTATGCAATACGTAAACTAAGAATTGCAGGAGAAATAGCGCCAAAAAGAGCGGGAAAACTTAGCGTGATATATAACACATTCCCCCACATTATAAACAACGGCCTCGCCCTCCACCCTGACTATGCAGCACGTCCTTCCTCAGCTGATGGCTCAACATATTCAGGTGTTTTTGTACATATGTAGCCTAATATGTAGGTTCACAGCTGTAGTACGTCAAATATTATTTGTACTGGTAAATAATAATAATAATAATAATTGATGATATACAGTACATATATTAGTTTCCTATTCGCATAAATTTTTTTTCTATTATAATTTCACTGTGTTAGAATATCGCATACAAAAAAAAATCACTAAATTAATTTTCGTGAGGCGCATGCCACCACCCCCCTCCCGTCTCCCTCTCTCTCTTTCTCTCATATATTTTGATTGTCTCCAAAAAAAGGCATAAAATATAATGTATGCTGAAATAACACATTCATCAGACAGTTAAACACACACACACACACACACACACACACACACACACACACACACACACACACTAGTGTATTCACCCTGCATGAAAATTTATGTTGCGTTTTTCTTGGCGTGACGTCAGAGAGTAGCGTCATTGATCAGCCATCCGGAGGGCGTTGAGGCAGCACAATGGTGACCTGGGGAGGGAACACCGCCCCTCATCACCCTGCTGATGGCCCCATATTCTGTTGTTGAAAAGATACACATAAGGTCATCTTTTAGTGTACAGAGAAACGGACACACTGGGTGAAATTGTCAAGAGAGAGAGACAGGATATTATTGGTTTAGAGAGGGAAGGCGACTCTTGCTGTATCATTTGCTTCCTGCAAGATTAATCACGTTCATGGTATAATAACACATAAGCTTTAATTCATATGGTGTAGTTTTTGACTCGTTTGCTCTAACAACGTGTTATATAAGGGCAATTTATTTTTGTATTACGTTTTTTTTTTTTTTTTAATCTAACGCGACAACTTTCGTCGCGATACTACTGGGATGGAAGCTCTACATTAAACATTGGGTCATAAAATATATAAAATCTGGGAGTAAATTGATACAAACATCTTGAAATATCTGAAGGACCTTGACTAACTGAAGCCTAACCTAACCTAATCTAATCTAACCCTAAGATAACCTAATTCAACATAAACAAACCCTAAATATTATATTAATAGTTTGGATCCGGTTCCGACTCCGGGTACGGTTCATCGGATCAGTTTTTGCCAGCGTAATCCCCAACAACTTTTGTTTCTAATTACGAAACTTTTGGTAGCCTTTCCATGTCGAATCCTGACAGTATTTCAGGATCATTAATAAACATCTTACAATATCTCCCTTCGTGTTAAACTTTTGAAAATAAGTTTGAGAACATTTCCTTGTCTATTTAGGCCCTGATAATATCCTTCCCTCAACTGCACCACTTAAAAAGAAATATTAAGGATATTATGTAGAAGCAAACTGAGCGTAATTTCCCTGCAATTGTCTTAAGTTATCGTGCTATTTAATGTTTGTTCCTCTGCGGGTAATGACCACTCACTATATGCTGTACACTCAACACACAATAATCTCACAAGTGCATTATCATAAAGGTGAACATAGAGGCAGTGTTCAGTGATATGAAGATGGAAAAACATTTACTTCGTATATTTTAAATAATGACAGAAAACACTCAGTAGTTAGTGTGACAATGTTTACTGTTAGCGTCACACCACCTCCCCTACCCCTGGCACTCTCCCCCACTGCCTCTCACAGTATACATTAGAGCCGCTAAATTTTTCGCAGGCGCTTTGGTCTGGTTGTATCCTCGACAGCCAGACACAGGATTGGTGCCTCCTCTAGAGAATACCGCTAATGGACCACTCGGAATACATCTTGGCCGCTTTTTCCAGATCCTGCTGGAGTACAGTCTTCATTGATTTATGACATATTACACTCCGTTAATATATGACCTATTTGAAGTGTTTTATGTGGATCTTGCTAGAATTAAGTCATTAATTTATGGACAGGTAAGAAAATTAGAACACCTTTTGTATGGTAAAATCTACACGGTTTATGACACCCCTGTACTGTAATATTCCCTCTAAAATAACAGTCTAGAATATTAAGTATAGTTTAACGACTTGTAAACAAAAGTGTATTATAAAAAAGTGACGAAGACGGAAAAAATCAACATAAAACAACTTCTTAGTTTGAACTTATATTTACTTCAATTGTCAAGAGACTCGTGAGAAGTGTTGACATATTAAACTCTTACGGCAAATTACTGATTACTTTTTAGATATTAGTAATAAAACAGCCCTGGAACAACACAAGCTATGCAGGACAAATGACGTGAATCAAGAGGAACATTATCACTGTAATCAGGCGAGCGATAAAGCAGAACTTGTTGTACGAAGTCATACGAAAAACAAACCAAACTCAACAGAAACAAACGAACATCACCAAAAGTCATTCCACTTTTCTTTCATTGGGTCAGACAATCAACCAAACTCTGCCTACACCTTTATTTTTTTCTGTCCAAAAACAATTTTTTTCGCGTCTCCCCATGCCTCGAGATGTCCGTCCACTGCTGCTGAGACGCCCAAGATTGTCTTAAGTAGGAAAGTTTTTCTCTCCTGGTATTCTTTCTTTCTCTATCGTCTTCTCTTCCTCCCCATGGGGCCACATTCACCTCCTGCGAGTCAACACTTCCTCCCTCAGCAGTTCAACGTCTCCTTCTTCCTCTTCCTTTCCCATTTTACATTTCCCCGTCGCCTAAATGTCACAGGATCTCTTTTGCTCCCTCCTGCAGACGTTCCGGAGGCGACGCTGCTAGTGGAAGGCGGGAGGCGGAGTGGAGGAGGAGGGAGGGAAGTGATGGAGGGCAAGAGTGTAAGCTTCCTGTGCTCCGTGAGGGCCGACCCCCCAGCCTACAACATCACCTGGCTGCATAACGTGAGTGTTTATTACTTTTGGTCTACCTGTTAATAACATCGCTACTACTAATTACCTTTGCTGTTAATTTTTGTTTGTCTTCAAAATTACTCAGTCATAACCATTAAGAACTATAAAAATTTACTGTCTATCGTTCAGCTCAGGGTAGACTCTCTGGTAATGCTGTAATTATAGCCTCAGGTTTCCTATCATGTATTACGGTAGAAGTAGCAGTTAGTAGTTATATTATTGGGTTTCCTATCAAAGTTTACGTTCTAGAATTACGTATAAACTTCTATGTTCAAGTTTTGTAATAATTTCTTTTGCTTGAGGTTATCACTTTTAAGTTTACGCAGTATACGCAGGAGTAACTTCTTGCCTCTACGCCCAAGCTTCAGGCCAGAGTCGGGCGATTAGTCTTCACAGAAGCAAAAGTCATTATGCAGAGAGTAATTAGCCCCGGGTCTTACCTGCCTAATGATGGGATCACTTGCTCTCATCCACCGGCCGTTGTCTGGGAAAAAATTAAATTATCCCAATTTTTCTTACTTTTTCTCATTTCCAGCGTGACTTTTAGCACACACACACACACACACACACACACACACACACACACACACACACACACACACACACACATGGTAAATGGGAATGATTTTCTCCACCTGCTTAAAAGTACAACATTTCCTTTTCTTTTTACCTCTTAATGAAACTTTTATGTTACTCATATGTTTTGAGTTAAAAATTATGAATATAAGCTTCGTGAAGAAAATACCAAATATTGCATAACGCCGCCAGTGTCCCAGCGGTCGGGGGAGGAGGACAATACAACTGCGTATTTTTGTGCTGGATTATTGCAGTGGGGCGTAGCAGCATGAAGCTGTCGGCTTTCGAGTCTCTGGGGACCCCACTGAGTACAGAGCCCCAGTATATCTGCTTTAAAGATTGAGCAGCCTGTTATTATTATTCTGAGACGAAGTGATACCACAGTATACTGCTTGCATCCCGACACACACACACACACACACACTAATATATGCTCGTGCCCTTACCACTGGAGGGTTAGGACATACCTGACGCTGCTTCGGAGGCTGCCTGGACGAAAATGTTGGCCGTACCACAACTGCCCGTCTCTCAACCCCCTTCCCCCTAACGATATATCAGCAAATACCCGTCAAAGGTCACAATTTCGTTTCACAAAGGAGAGTAAACAGTGTCGAACAGTACTTAACACCAGAAAAAATCAGTGCTAAACAGTAACAGCTGAGACCCATGGTTAAGATGACCTTCACACCCGTCAGTAAGATCTTCTAACTCCTGGCGATCATAAACGAAAACCCTCACGTGAATATAGTGTTATTCAGTCTAGCAGAAGTGTTGTGTTATGGAGAGTGTACAATAATCCCTGTGACGCTGTACCAAGTAAAAGCTACCCGGAGGCAAAGTCATGTTACACAGTGGACGACACGAACTGGGCTGCTGTGTGTGTACAAAGGAAGGAAGAGGAATGGCGAGAAGAAAGAAAAGAACCAAACACTTAGTAAATATTGGACCAACTGCTCTCTCACACACACACACGCGCGCACACACACACACACACACACACACACGCACACACGCACACACACACACACACACACGCACACACACACGGAATACATGTTTCTTGTTTTAAATTGTCCTCTACTTACTAACGCTTTTTATGAGATTATTTTTAACGTCTTACAGCTGATATTAATTACGTTATAGATAGATAGATAGAAAAATAGATAGATAGATGACAACTATAAAAAAGTGTATCCAAAATCCAGAGCGAATTCGAAATATGAAAAGTTAATCTTTTAGTGAGTGACAGCTGTCTCTCCTGCGCCAAATATTCGGGAGAATTTTGGAGGCTGGGAGAACCGTGAATGAATGCCCGTTACTGTACTTTACTTTGTTTTTATATCCGTCACTGTCGATGGTGAAGTAGTGTGACGAACGTGGCTGCTGTGAGATGTCTTTAATTTGACTTTATTTTGCAACTTTTTATTTATTTATTTTTTTTTTGGGGGGGGGGAGGGTAGAATAGTGATCTTTCCTTTCTTAATAGTGATTCGTTTTCATCTTTTAACTTTGGTTTTAAAGATTCATTCTCGACAGCTGTAACTTGGAGTCAATATAATTTTGTTAAGACAGACCAGAGCTTAAAATGACAGGACTTAAACAGCGCGAAGGTTTGTGTAGGGATTACCGCATAATATCTGTCTCTTAACTCTTGGTGATATATCAGTCTGTCTATGATATATACTGCACCCCGCCCCCTCACCCTCATCCCTAGTCTATCTCCAGATGTCAGATGTGAGGTGAAGTGCGGGGCGATGCATCACTACTTGTTATTAATTTCTTCTTGACAGAGATTCCAAATGATATGCAAATGCTTCTTTTTTGTTATAAATTCTTTTTCTCTTTCTTTCTATCCATCTTTTTCCTTCTCTTTCCTTCGTTTTTTGTCTATCTCTTCCTTCCTCTGCCAAGACGACAGGAACAGCCTCCAACAACGGGTATGAACATTTTACCGGAGTTATATTTCCTTCTTCGCTGTTGACGGTATCCTCCCTCGCCATACAACCCGTTCAGTTACATGATCTCATCTGCATATTTGATGGCCTGTTGTGTTGCCGGGAGACGAGGTCGTACCCCGCTGCATAATATCGTGTGCGGTCTTAACTTATCGTCTCCTCCTTCGGTAGTGCCTCCAGGGACACCCAACGCGACATGGTGCAATGCTGATTTGGATGAGAGAATGAGAGGAAGAGAAAGAAAGGGAAGGAAGTGGATATAGAGGCACAGCTGAGGAACGACGTAGAGAGAGAGAGAGAGAGAGAGACGAAGGGATAGCTAATAAAACTAAAAGAGACAACTAGAGACAGTGAGAATGAGTTAGGAAGGTGTGGTCTGGGTGTGTCGTGGAGGGGAGAAACATCAACATCACCACCACCAGGACACAGGCACCTCCCCACTCAACACGGGGTGCTGCTGCTGGCCGCGACAGCTGTGGCGGCTAGCACTCATACTCACCGTTTATGGCCCCACATTAACTGGATTTACTTGTTACAGAAACGACCTGGCATTATCAGCAAGACCGCGAGCTGCTCCCCCTCTGTCGCTGGCTCTCCAAAGGAACACAATGAAAATAATAAGCTTAATTTGCATGCGGTGCAAATATCGTCCTTGGTCGGCAGTTTCCACCCCCTTTATGGTTCATTTGTTGTCCCTGCATGGTTTACACAGCCAGCAGATGGATTAAGAACAGAGGCACTTCTCGGCAGGTCACCCTCTTACTACACCTGAGCCAAAGGGGTCTCTTTTATGATTAATGGACAATTTAAGGGGTTCACACTGGCACCATACTGTTTTGGCATCCTGCGTGAGTAAAGGCGACCTAGATAATGGATCTATGTGCCCCCAAAAATCAATGCCATGCTTACCCCTAAACACCCCCTGAAGGAATGCAATACTCCCACTCACGTCAAGCAAGTTTTGGCAGACATCATATAGTATCACTGTTGATAACTCTACAGAATCATTACAGCACGCGTTCTAAGTCATTATTCTTATATGATTAGCGTAAACAACTTAGGTAGAGCCTTCTAGTACAGAAATTGTTCAGGGAATTACTGTGTATAAAAACCAAAATAAAGCAAATCATTCCGAATATGTTAAACTTTACACCAAAACGTTGGAGACTTAGTTAATGTTATCGTGAGGTCTTCTCGCATACAGAACCCAAGAGTAAGATATATTACATTATGAATCACGTGAGAGACAGATGTAGTGAAGATCTCTCATCCTGATGGCACTCAACTCCTGCACTAAGCCCTCCTTGGCACCTTCACCATGGACCTCATCTATGAATGTGTTTGAGTGTGTCAGGATGAAAGAGAGTGTTCGAAGCTTTACATCATTAGAAGTTCATCTGTCAGAGAATGAAAGTGTGAGAGTGGTTGTCGGTTTGTGAGTGTGAGTGAGTGTGTGAGTGTGTGAGAGAAAACTATTCGTGAACTTTTGAAAAATGAAATATGTGAGTATGGTGAGAAAGAAAAAGTACTAGTCTGTTTTTCGGAACAGTTTATGTGAGTATATATATGTGAGAAAGACTGAGTGCTAGTGAAGAGTTTGTGAGAAAGTGTGAGTGTGTGTGTGTTATAGAGAAATTGTAGAGAGAGAGAGAGACTGGGAACAGAAACACACAAGTTAATATTCACCACCGCAATTAATCAGATTTTTGTTTATATTATATATCTTTCACTGTGCTCGGATACAGGACATAATTAGATCAGTTTCTGCTGTATATTATAGCCAGTATATCTTCCAGCTATACTATACTATACTATACTATACTGTACTGTACTGTACTGTACTGTACTGTACTATACTATACTATACTTACTATACTGTACTGTACTGTACTGTACTGTACTGTACTGTACTATACTATACTATACTATACTATACTATACTATACTATACTATACTGTACTGTACTGTACTGTACTGTACTGTACTGTATACTATACTATACTATACTATAACGCATGGAGGATATAACCACACTATAAGACATAATCAAATCCCCAGGTATAACTGCACGTCTGTTCACAGGGTCGCGTGGTGGTGGTTGGTGGTCGTCGGTGGAGGCGGGACAACGCGTCGCTGGTGGTGACTCCTGTGCGACGCGACGACGCGGGACTATACACCTGTTTGGCCTCCAACACTGAAGGCGACGGACACTCTAACGCCGTCCATCTACGCGTCGCACGTCAGTCTCTCAAGGCTTCTCTGTTCTGTGTTATCTAAATGTTTATCAATTTATCTATCTGTCCACATATTGTTTACCTTTCTGTCTAATTATCACTACTGATTACACTCACGATCGACACAAATAAGGTCTTAACATAACACTGTCAATATATACACCCAGCACCTGATTTCAATGTCATTTTCATAAATAAATCGTAACCAATATAACACCTGGATGATATATATGTTTTCTTCAACTCCGTCAAGGTAAAGCTAAACTTAACTATTTTGTTTTCTAACCAATACAAAACGGCGAGAGAGAACAGACGCGTCAATATCAAATCTAATCACCGAGGCGTCCCCCTTGCCAAAGACTGAAGGTAATTGAAACGGAATGATCTAAACTGATGGATGTTATGTGACAGGTAAAGCACTCAGAGGCAGGGAGTTCTACACGGTGCCAGTCCAGGGCTGACATGATATAGTTACCATATATTTATTTTCGTAAATATTCTTGTAATGTGAAATAAACTATGATTCTTCAGTATACGAACAACAACTCTGTCAATATTCGTTAATTAAAGACGAGTTGATCACTGTAACTATAAACCATGTCGGTCTCTTATCATCTGGATTAACTTCAATACGACAGAGTTGGAGGAACCATAATTATACTGTGTTATATAATTATCATCCAAATGGTCCAATATTTGGGAATTGCTCAACAAAATAACTTACATACGTTTTTGTTGTCATGGCTGTTAAAGACAAAAACATTTACACAATAACACAAATGATTAATTAGGCACGGATAGAGCGCACAGAAACACTGTAGAGTAAGGCCGATGGCTTTATATGTAAATATGTTTTCTCCCTGAAATATGTGGCCAGGTTAGATATATAACATGTCTAGAGGCAGTACACCTGTTCTAAACATGATATTGGGCTTAACAATATAGTTTTGTGCACACAGACACGCCATACTGTGCGGGGAGTCCCCACAGTCACCTGGTAGTGGCCTCGAACACCACCATCACTCTCACCTGCAAGGTGGAGGCCGTGCCTCAAGAGGTCAACTTCACCTGGAGACTGTCCGCGCCTCCAGTCACTCACCCGAGGCTCAAGGGGGGCAAAGACCCCCGGGGTGGAGTCATAACTGGGGAGGTGGGACCCCCACCTCGCCTCCCCAGTCTGATTGACCTAACCCCAGGTCACCCACCTGACCCTGAGCCCTGGGTGACATCTGCCCCGCGGTCCTGGGACCTGGCCCTGCCCGACTCTTGGGAAGACACTGGGGACGGGGACCTGGAGGGCTCCCTGCTACGCCATCGCCTGGACCCTTCCTCCCCCACCCGATCCGTCGTCACCCTCACCCCCACCGCCCCAGTCCACGTCGTCTGCTACGCCCGCAACCGCGTGGGGCGTACCAGAGTCCCCTGCACTTACACCCTCAGCGTCGTAGGTAAGTGTTCCTTGTGATTAAGAGGTACTTGTAGGTAACTGAACGCTGTAGGTAAGTGGCTTTTGTAAACAAGCTATCCTTTTTATAGGTAAGTGGTCCTTGTGGGTTAGTGGTCTCCTCTAGTAAGTGGTGCCAGAGGGTAAATGGTCACTAAGGGCAAGTGGATTCCCATGCATAAGTGATCCATCCGGTTATTTGATCTTTGTGGGTAAGTGGCCCCTGTAGGTAAGTGGCCCCTGTAGGTAAATGGCCCCTGTAGGTAAGTGGCCCCTGTAAGTAAGTGGCCCCTGTAGGTAAGTGGCCCCTGTAGGTAAGTAGTAACTATAAGTTCACTTTCTATTACTGCATATGTCATTCATTTGTACTTAACTGAATGCTTAATGTCGTGTTTTTCACAGTCCAGTAAACATGTTATTCAGCACTAGTTTGATGACTTTTTTAATGGGAAAAGTCTATGTATTTCTGTTCCTATTGTAGATTATAATATACATATTACATTACCTACACACCAGAACCATTAAAAATTAACTCGCCATAAAATTATTACAATATATAAGAATTAAACTATTGCTGAATTGAATATTTTGAAGGAGAGAGAGAGAGAGAAGGAGAGAGAGAGAGAGAGAGAGAGAGAGAGAGAGAGAGAGAGAGAGAGAGAGACCTTTTTAAAGAATATGTAAGTAAGGAAGCAAATAAGAGCGATGGTGAAGCCAATATCTTTTTTTATTATTATTTTTGTGTGTACGTTTTTCTCCTCTTTGTGCAGGAAACTCGACCACCCACACATACATACACATTTTACCATCAGTCGTTCTATTTCCTCTGAATGGGACCTATGTTAAGAAGTTCCTCCGTTTATCAGTATTACAAGATAGGGAGGAATATATCAATGAGGTCATACTGCCTTTAACCACTTGCTACAAAAGACACACGACCCCCGAAGTCATAACAAGATGACCCAGTTAGTGAACCTTCCTCCAACACGGGCCAAAAAAAGTCGACCCTCCCTCCGTCTCACCTTCCCAACAGGATCCTACGCTAGGCCAGGTACACCGTGTCAACAATGCCTGACCTTCTCTGACCCGCCTCCAATTTTATTTCTGATTCAACATTCCGCCCTACCCCCACCCTTCCCTCACTCCTTGTCTCATCTATCCTCTCCCTGCTGTCTCTCTCTATCCCTAACTCCTCCTCCACCTATCTATCCCCTTCCCTCCTTGCCTACACCTCCCCTTCCCCCCTTGCCTACACCGTGAACTATTTCCCCCTCAAAGGTTGTTCGATTTCCTATTTTAACTTTTGTATGATATTCAAACAGCAACGGAGATACAGCTGCATCCAGCGTGAGTTCTTATGACATTATCCATCTCTTATTCTACACTCTCACGTCATCCAGCCAAAGAAAAAAACACCACGAAGGATATTTTTTTGTTTGTCTCTCTTACACACACAATGATACCGTCAGTTGTTGTTAAATTGTTATCACTAGGCGTAACAAGTTTAGTAATTACACGAGTCCAACAACACTAGTGCGACCTACCAAAAGAAGCGTGGGAAGGGAAGAAAATAAACAAACAACAAGAGACAGACTATAGTAAGAAAAACACAGAACCAAGAGAGCTCTGGCCAGTATCCCGGGAGATAACAACGACCCAGAAAAAGACTCACTACTAAATAGATAGATGAAATTAGGAAGCTCGGGGGTGTGGAATGGACAGTGTCGGCTTAAGACGGAAGACTGTGGAAATTTATGGGGAAAGCTTTCATCCTGCAGTGGATTGATACAGGCTGATAATTATATGTGTATGTGTGTGTGTGTGTGTGTGTGTGTGTGTGTGTGTGTGTGTGTGTGTGTGTGTGTGTGTGTGTGTGTGTGTGTGCCTGCGTGAGTATGTCCCATAAGCCTGAAGGCCCGTTATGGCAGTGCAGATACACCACACTGAATAGTATGCCATCGTCAGACAAGGAGGGGGAGAGTAAACTTAGGTGCACTAAACACACACACACACATCTCCTTCCTCTGTTAGTCTCTAATTCCGACCTTACTGGTACAGAGATAAGGGCGTATCATCTCTCAGGTATGGAGGTAATGCCACAAGGTCTCTCATACTCACACATTAGGCCTAGTAGTCTCTCACGCTTAGATATAAACCAATACTGTCTCTCTGGCCTGGAGATAAAGCCATTATTTATCTCAGGTCTGATGACGACCAAACCAAGTTATCTCTCGCGTTTAAGGATAGAACCATATGGTGCCTGTGGTGAGGGGGAAGAGGAGGGGCGAAGGGGGGAGGAAAGAGGGGTAAGGAGTGTTACGAGTTGGGGATTTAGAATATAGTTATAAGTCTACCCAGATCCCAACAGGTAACAACAACAAAAAAAACAAAGACAATCGGACTATGAAAGGGTAGACAAAGGATGCGAGTTTTCGTTGTGTATAATAAAGTACCATAAATCCCTTAACAAAATATTCAGCTTATAAATTACCCTTAACCAAACTTAACCTAAACATTAACAGTAAACCATTTTGAAGCAAGTGGACGTGGGGGAGGCAATACAAGATACAAATACTTAAGTGAGGAGCTGAGATGGCTGACGAGTAAGGCTGAGTATTGTAGAAGACGGTAGGTAGTCACTGCACCATAGGTTTAGAGGATAGATGATCCTGTGGTCACTTCCCAGAGCCAAGTGCTCTCTCCTCGAATTGGAGCTCACAAAGAAGACTTGGAGGAAGTGACGCAACAACCAGGATATGGAGAAGGGAAACCCCGGAGTGTTAACTAAGACGAGTCATACTCGTGTCTCGTCCCTAGATGGCGTTGCTCGTGGTGCTGGGTAGGTAGATCAGGACAATAGATGGCGTGGTTCGTAGTGCTGGGTGGAGGGGTTCGTAACAGGAGGGAGGGGGAACGAGTGGGGAGGAAAAAGGGGGGGATAAGGGGTGAGAGGGGGTGAGGGCGTGGCTGCTGGTACTAGAGTATCTTAACGACTCCCACGACCTCATTATTGACTGTGAACGACCATGCGGAAAGGGAGGGAAGGAAGGTAGATGAGAAGAGGGAAGGAAGGAGGGAGGGACAGGGTAGGTGAGAGGAAAGAAAGAAGGATGGAGGGAGAGGGAAGGTGAGAAAAAGAGAGGAAGGAAAGAGGGAGGGTAGGAAAGAGGAAAGACCAAACGCATCCTTCACATCACACCCGAATTTACATATTAAAATTGGATAAGATTCGGTTAGGTTAGGTTAGGTTAGGTTGGGTATAGTTAAGTGAGATTAACATAGTGGTGGGTTAAATTATGTTAAATTACAGGTACAGGCGAAGTTTAGTGAGGTTCAGTTAAGGATAGACTGGATTAAGTAAAATTAAGATAAAAGTGGGATTAGTTTAGAAGTAGATTCAGTTAACTTGGAGTAGGTCAGGGGTAAGCTATATTAGGTTCAGTTAGGCTCTGGATCGGGGTCTGGGTCTGGGTAATTAGTGAGTCCACAAACCTTCTACCTGATAACGAGGTAATGTGGTGGAAGGTGAATACATTAGCTCTTGTGTTGACTTTAATACTGTGTACATACGAGGATATGGCTCACGTAACACCATTATCTATTTGTATGGTAGTTTTCCTTTTAAATACTAAACTACGCCTTCATAGTGTTTATGTTATGCTAATAGACAGTTATAACTTCCCCGTGGTTAAGCCTTTAGGCACGCAATTATTCACCGTGTGTGTAAATAACGGCCACAAAACAAATTTTATAAATCCCTTAATAATTTTTTCTAGCAATGATTTAATATATAAACGACGGTCACCAGTAATATTTTTCGAGGGCCGAAAACAGCAATGTAAATTCATCATATCATTTAAAAAAATTACATATACATTATCTTCCCCTGAAAAAAAATATATATGTTTTGCAATTAACTAAATTCATGGCCCTTACCTGCATCTGAAGTTGCATTTATACTATACTGAAACACACGAACCTTTACCTCCATCAGAAAAACACTACAGTACCTCCATAAACCACATTCTAGGTGTTAGTTATAATTCTAATTAAACCTAGACACTGTGACCTAAGACAACCTCAATGCTAACATTGCTACAAGCTTCAGTACCTGACGTTACCACCGCGAGGTCTCCGGTACTGAACGGCAGCAAGAAAAAATATATAAAATAATATCTGCTCCTAGATAATCAAGGCTCAGTATATAAATCTATCATCACTTTATACAATTATGAATAATACCTGTGTGTTTATTTTTGTTATTTTTTGTTTGAAGGTAATGTTAACTGTTTAATGTTTTGATGTGTTTATATCAGAACTGTAACCTATTTTAATAATATCTTCCATCTCTAAAACTGCCACAGTGTGTACTTACCTTGTACTGATGTCTCAACCTGAAAAAAGATAAGCCAGTGTTAATCCAAAGATTTACCAAACCTGTAAAATAAAGTTTACAAACGAATAATTTCTAAGCCTCCTGAAGACTCAATCATCATTTTCTTCAATAAATAACCAACTATGAGACAAACAAATAAACATATCAATAGAGACTCCTTGCTTCACTTAGTGTGTGTTAGACTCCTTGCTTCACATAGTACTTAGTGTGTGTTAGACTCCTTGCTTCACATAGTACTTAGTGTGTGTTAGACTCCTTGCTTCACATAGTACTTAGTGTGTGTTAGACTCCTTGCTTCACATAGTACTTAGTGTGTGTTAGACTCCTTGCTTCACATAGTGTGTTAGTGTGTGTTAGACTTCCTTGCTTCACATAGTACTTTGTGTGTTAGACTCCTTGCTTCACATAGTACTTAGTGTGTGTTAGACTCTTGCTTCACATAGTACTTAGTGTGTGTTAGACTCCTTGCTTCACATAGTAGTGTGTGTTAGACTCCCAGAGCTCACATAGTACTTAGTGTGTGTTAGAGTTTCACTTAGTGTGTGTTAGACTCCTTGCTTCACATAGTACTTAGTGTGTGTTAGACTCCTTGCTTCACATAGTACTTAGTGTGTGTTAGACTCCTTGCTTCACATAGTACTTAGTGTGTGTTAGACTCCTTGCTTCACATAGTACTTAGTGTGTGTTATCTCAGGATTGTGTTGATCCGCCTAGCTTGTTGTTGTCTTCGTTAAACTTGTGTCTACTTGTAAATCATCACTGCGGCAGAATTTAATTGAGAAATATAACTGTGTGTGTGTGTGTGTGTGTGTGTGTGTGTGTGTGTGTGTGTGTGTGTAAAAATATAGTTGTTGTGAATATATGAAGCAAAGTCGTGTGTGTTAATTACATCCATTACATGACATGAAATTCAGGATCATCGCGGTGTTTGTCATTGGTTGAATGTCGACCAATCATATCAAGGAGAATTATAACATTGACTTATATTTATATTTCGTTTCTTCCTCTTTATTCCTTCCTTCATTTCTCTTCCTACCTCACATCCCTAACTCCTTCTTTGTTTTATCTCTGTTTCATTTTACTCTTCTCTTCTGTCTTCTTTCATCTCCCTTTCCTTCTCCTCTCCTTTCATCTTTCTCTCTTTTCTTGCTTCTCCTTCTATCATCTTTTCATCCTTTACGTTTTCTCTCCCTCTCCCTCTCTCTCTCTCTGGCCACCACCCCTCCTCACAGAGCCGCCACAGCCGCTGAAAGACTGTAACGTGACTATGGTGGGAGAGACCCAACTGGAAGTGAAGTGTGATACGCACGCCCACACCCGCGACGCCCACGCCCACGAGGACGCCACCCACGCCCAACACTCACCCAGTGCCAGTTTCGTCTTGTCCCCAGAAGCAAGCGCCCGTGCCAACCTGGAGGTGAGTCTTATGGCCTAGTTAATGTTTTATTGCTGTCCTGACGAAGTGCCTTTCTTCTTCTTCTTCTTCTTCTTCTTCTTCTTCTTATTATTATTATTATTATTATTATTATTATTATTTTGTTGTTGTGACAATGTCTAACGAGTAGTATAAATTATCACGTTTGGCTGTCGAGTAGGCAGATGTTGCTCAGCGGCCGAGGGAAATTTCTAATGCATCATTTCACTGTCCATCTTACTGCAAATCCAGCAAATTGCTATAGATATTCTTTAAGGGATAGGATAAATTATTTTTATTTGTTGTTACGGATTATATGTTGACTACCGGCCTACGCAAATGCTTAATGAATTGAATTTATGATTGTAATTGGCGGTGCTTCAGTTAACAATCAAAATGTCTAATGAATCGTATAATTCTCATTGGTTGTTGTGGTGCAGATGTGGCCCAGCGTCCAATGACAATGTCTAACGAATCGGATAACTGATTATAATTGGATTTCGCGATGCGAATACAGTCGAAGGACCGATAAAAACTAATGAAATATATTTTCGTATTGGTTCACGTGGTGAAATTGTGGTCGATAGACCAATGAAAAGTTTTAATAGCTCAAATGAATGATTCTAATTGGCTGTCGCAGTTAAAATGTGGTCCATGCACCCAACGTATATATTCTGACATTCAAAATAAATTCCAAATGGTTTGTACCGTTTGCCACAATGTTTAAGTGTGGTAACATTAGGAGAAAGGTGTCAGCTGGCTGCTGAGCCTCGGCGGGTCACGCCATAAAACTGTATCATTACCCACAAGGTCCAGGACCCCCACAACATTAAGTCCGTGTGCAGTGAGAGAGAGTGTGTGTGTGTGTGTGTGTGTGTGTGTCGTTAACAGCGTCTTGTTTACGTTCACGCTTCAGGTAAGACTTCCCCCCACCCCCTCCCGTGTATACTGGGTGTTCTCTCCACTCTAACACCATAGATAAAAGTTTGCGTTACATCTGGTTGTTATGACCCACTTATGGCTGAAATAGTCTCGAAAATCTTAATTCAATTTCTCATATTTTTCTTTGTTAATGTTCTAACTCCATTATTTACGGTTTACCTTTTACTTAATACCTCACAGCACCTGTGTCCATTACTACATTTCTTTACCTGTTTTTGTTAATAATTTTCAACACCTGTTCCTTCCCGTGTCTCAGGTATGGTCAGGAGGTACACTGATTGTTAACGTGAGTGACGCGCGGCCCGTGTTCACTGTGAGAGGACTCCCACCCGCCGCCAACCTCAAGCTGGTGCTCTACTCAGCCACCGCCCACACCCGCTCCAAGCCTGTCTACATGTACGCCCGCACCCTCCCCCGCGCCACCTTACATCTCACAGGTGAAGCATTAACGTTGTGTAGGGTTCAGTGTGTGCTCTAAACGCTTCAAATATTTACCTCTTTGTCACTTTCATTAACTCTGTTTTTCTTTCTGTCATCTTATCTCACTCTTTACCTCCCTTCTCTTTGTCTCTCTTTCTCGCACACAAACACTCCTTCCTTCCACCCTCCCACCTGCCTGTGTGTGTGTGTGACCCTTCCCCTTTGACCACCAGAGTCTTGGATAATTAAAGGACCCAGTTTACACAGTTTCCCTCTGAGTGAACCAAACTCCTTGTGGAAGAGAGGGAGACACGGGGCGTTTCCCAAGCCTTAGGGCAAGAGTGTCCAGCGTTGCAAATGACATTATAATTAATTCTCTCCAGCACCAAGGATCGTATTTGAACCTGGACTTGTCAAATACAATCGTGGGGATCAACTCAAGGTCTGGCAGTGTCAATACAGCTTCTAGGATCACACTCAAGACTCTACAAGATCCAATTCAGCTCACTGTCAACCGTATCGTGAAAACTCTTAGTTGCAAGTTCACCTTGATATATTGTGTTCAATTTTAGCTTTAGATAAGAATTTGTCCGTTCTTAGCTGGGTTCATGCCTGTAGTCTGGGTTCTCTGTCAGCATTTAACCAAAACTCTGATATTATTGACTAGTTCCAGAAGAGGACCTTGTAGTTCTTTACTGTATTTTACCCTTCCAGTCGTTAATTATATAAACGTGTTTTGTATCGCCCCCCCCCCCCTCCCAACCTACTTATTTATCCGTTTTCTTTGATGCTTCTACATCTCTTTGATACACCAGAGCGAGAGAAAGAGAGAATTACAGAGAATCATGGATCATTTTTAAATAAACCCTAAAGAGAGTCAATGGTATAACGTGTTACAGAGACATTTAAGCTTGTTTTTTTAGCATACTTTGTACACTAGTTATCAACAAACAAACAAAATCAAAATATACATACATACATACATACATACATACATACATACATACATACATACATCTCTCTGATTTAGGAGTTGAAAAAAAGGGCTGAAATTAATGTTTATCTGGCAGGTAATATCTATTGTCAATAATTCATGCTTTTAATTAACAAGGTAAAAAAAGGTGAATTTTATTAATGGATTGGGCGAGGGAATGGCCGTGTTAATGGGTGTGTTAAGGGATGATAAAGGCATGTGTTAAAGGGTGATATAGGAGTTATGGTGATAATGGTGGTGATAGTGATTGTTGGTAGTGTTAGTGGTGATGGTGGTGGTGATAGTGATAGTTGGTAGAGTTAGTGGTGATAGTGATGATATTGGTGATGGTTGGTAGTGTTAGTGGTAATGGTGGTGATAGTGATGATGGAGGTGTTAGTGGTGATAGTGATGATGGTAGTTGTGATGATAAGTGTTAAAGATAAGGGCTAATGGAGATATGTGCAAACCGGGAGTGGGATACACTTAACGCCATAAAGTTAGAGAGAGAGAGAGAGAGAGGGGGGTAATACACACACTATGAAAGAAAGAACTAAAGAACTTATTGCGAAGCCTCTCCAAGCTGTCAAAACTTAGGAGAGGTAAGAAGTTTCAAGTGAGGGGAAGGGGGAACTTAGCCGCCTCAGAGGAGCTGGAAATTTGAAGCTAAGACATCAGAAGGAAGGAAGCTAGAGTGTTGTGGTTATCAAGACTGCTTACCTTAGCTGAGTGAAGCTATCTTGATGTGCTTGGAGTTAGTAGGATATATTTGGTGATGGGATTAAGGGGATAAAAAGCTAATAAGCGTCCCAGTCTCCCAATCGACCCTTCTGTAAATGGGTACCTGACCTTACAGTTGAGAGAATGAAGGGGATCGAGTGCAGTGTCGCCCCCCACGTAGATTTCTTGGCTCAGTTTGTGTGTGTGAATTATCCCAGTGAATCTGAATGTGTATGCACCATCTATCACCATTACCATCCCTTCTGTCACCATCACCTACTTACACTACCATCATCCTTGTCATCACTTTAACCATTCATCACCATTAAAGTCACTCTCATCAGCTATCACCTAACCGATCAATTACATCATCATCATCATCATCATCATCATCATCATCATCATCACACCGTCATTTTCATCAACGTCCTCACCATCACCACCACTGCCCCTCGCCACTATCACCACACATCTCCACATACTAACACCAGCATCACGTATCACCATCTCTCACCATATAACAACACCAGCATCACCACGCCTCATCACCACGCCCCACGCATGAATCTCGGGTCCAGACATGCAGAGTCAGGCGTAGGGCTCCGGGGTTACGAGTTTAGAGAAGAGGTCAACAGGGTGGGCCATCACAGCCAGCCGCCTCTCGTGTTGACAAAGTGGTCCTTCAGAGTGTTGCAGCGTCTATCATGCATACTCTCTCCTCTTTGATATCTCTCACTTGTGCTGTGTCTCTCTTGTGATGTCTGTTTTCTTAATGTATTATCTCATGCTGTTATCTCTCATTCGTGTGCTGTGTCTGTCTCCTGTACAATGTTTCCTGTTCGGTGTCTCTAACTCGTGTTCTGTCTCTCTTACATAATCTCTCTGTAATGGTCTGACCCTCTCGCTATCTGTCTCACCGATGTTTTATCTCACTCCATCAGTGTATCTCTCATATTTTATCTCTCTCTCTCTCTCTCTCTCTCTAGTAATGTACGCACACACACACACACACACACATGCAGAAAGAAAGGGAGAACGACAGAGAAAGAGAGAGAGAGAGAGACACACACAGGAAAACAAGAAGCGTTGGAGCGCCCGAGAGACCTTAAGAAATAATAAGAACAAAGTGACACATATACAATGTTTTCCCGCAGTGGCGAAGGAAAAATTCAAGGATTTCTTTTTGGCCACGTTCTGATTTTTTTTTTTTTTATAATCACGCAGAATATTTTATGTTTCTATCCCTGCGTCGTCATCATTAACTCTAGGGTGACTCTCCTCATCATCACACATTTTACAGTATCGTCCCATTTCTTGTTCCGCCTCACGAGAGAAATTGAGTTAATGACATTTTTTTGAACAATTTGTCTACTCATTCGTTGTGAGATGAGAGTCTATGAAAAACATTATCTTTGTTAAGCCTTTTTCACAGTCTGGATATAATGTGACATATTTAGAACGGCCTGTCTTTTCGCGTGCCGTAAGTAACAGTAAAATAAAAACTTCAAACTTTCCAAGAAACATGTCACAGCGTCTCAGCCTCCTGAAAAATTTACTCACCCATAGACGATACAATATTTCAAGTTTCTACATGTTTAAGCTTTACCTAACCTAACCTAACCTAACCTGACCAAACCTAACCTAACCTCATTTACAACCCCAGACCCCAGGCCAATACCTCACTTGTTTTGACTCACTAGGAGGGAACAAGACCATCAGTAGTGTTGATAATGGAGCCGTTTTTTGTCTCTGGTTGGAAGCGCTTCAGCTGCTCGCGTTATTCACACCGTTGAAGTTAAAAAATCGGTTTGATAATATTAATTTTGCTTCCATACACCAAAAAATATTGTATATTTTTTTAATTTGTTTGTAATTAATGAATGATGAAAAAAGTTACATAGTGGAAAAACTCAAACTGTGTACTCATACATGATTTATTTTAACTATCAACAGTCAAATTATTGAGAACAAATTAAAAAATGCTTCAAATAAATGGAAAAAATCACATAATTGCTCAAAAAACGAGAATTCAGTCCAACATAGAGTAAAAATTTGGAATGATATGAAGTACTGGAGATAAAAAAAGGGCAGAACATTTGTTATATATTAAAAACTGCCACAGTTGTCCAAATGTTGAACACGTGTAATTACCTTCACCTCGTTCATAAAACTTTCACGCCTCGAAAAAAAAAAAGTATTTCATTAAAAGAGTGAATTTGTAATACCACTGAAAAATTAGCAGAATAAGTATAAAAAAATACGAGAAATTCATCGTAATTTGATAAACAGGTCGTTTTTACGTGCCGGAGAGGGGACAGAGGCAATTAATATGTACTGTAACGCATGACTATGTTGCTAATAAAGACAATAACAATGATAATAGTAATGACATCAACAACAACAACAACAACAGAGAGAGAGAGAGAGAGAGAGAGAGAGAGAGAGAGAGAGAGAGAGAGAGAGAGTGCCATACCTGCCCCAACCTGTCTGGTATAAGATTTTGCCTAATAAAGTACAATAATTTTTTTATAATTTTTTCCACTTGAACTCTTGTTATATAAAAATGTATATGAGTAACTTTTCAACATGTTTCTCCTCCTCTTTACGGGTTGGCATAACTTATCATTTACTTTCATTATATTTTGATTGGTCAAGGCATTATATAACCACGGCCTATATTCGTTATTTTTTCCTCTAATATTTGACCTTTGACCCCATAAGATTTAATGGCTGGTCGAATCAAATGGGAAAAAACATTAAGCATTTCTTGGGAGTATTAGATTAAGGTGCACGCGATATTAATTTAAATATGAAATTAAATAGAGAAAAGAAAAGGTGAAATGGTGCTCAATCTTCTACAGTAAGAGGGTTTTATCTCCTGGCTGCCATAGTGGGACATTAATACCAGGTATGTAAGTTCTTGTTAATATATCGACATAATCATCTTCCAGTGCCGCCACCAGTGACTGAGGGAGGAAGCCTTCAGCCCAGTGGTGAGGAGCCGCCCGTACTTGGTGGCCTGGACGGTGGGCTGGGGGTGGCCATCGGGGGTCTGGTGGGCGGGGTGGGGCTGACCCTACTGGTGCTAGTGCTGGTCATCATGCTCATGAGGCGCCGTCAGCAACGACGAGCAGCCGAGGAGGAGCTGGTGGTGCCTCCCGAGACTGTAATCAAGGCTACCCAAGGTGAGTCACTGTGACCCATTACGGTGTTTTGATACTGTTACTGAGTCATGAGTAATTACCTAGATGAGTCCGAGTGTTGGTCATCAGTCCTGGAGTTCCCAAGGTGGTCCTCTTACCAGATTTCACCTCCTAAGTTTTGAATACAAAACTCTTATTCATCCCCTGTTCTCCATTTGCTGCTTAGGATTAACCTGGCAGTGTCCACATTATCTAAAGCCTTTAGACTGGTCAATAATTATAATCTACTGTTTCTCATAACTATATGTCGATGATGGAGCAAAGGAATCCCAATCCTTGTTACCAATCGTCCTAATAAGACTCAATCTAACTAGGCCATTAGGAGTGCTGCCTTACTTCTAATGGGCCCCATCCGATGGTTAGGTTAGGTTAAGTGAGACTTGGGCCTATTGGGAGTGGAACACGTTTGATACTACTCTAAATCCACCTTACTCTCTTGATGCCAACAACAACCGAGACACGAGTGAAGCTTATCGATACAAAAACACAGGTTTATCGAAGGTATTATGTACTGCACTAGTAAGCAATAATCTATATGGGTAAAAAAAACAATTCTTCGTATCTTATATCACAGAGGAAGCTGCACAGGAGCTACCAGTTGTGGGATCCAGTGTTGAGCTTCCACACACCCCACGCACACCCCACACCCCACGCCCACACACCCCCCGCCCACCCCACACACCGCGCCCACCACGTACGCCCCACACGCCGCCCCCGCCTAAGGTGAGTTGTGACACCAAATTGATTAGCCGCACATGTGTACTACGTTCATTTGTGGGTTTTACTGTCAAGCTTGGTAAAGTGAGTGGTAGACGTAAAAGTAATAGCAACAAAATTCAGTGGTATCATGAGTACTATGAGCAGTAGTAGACCAATAGTAAAAGTAGTAGTAGTAGTAGTAGTATCATCAGTAAGTATTAATGGTTGTAGTTTTGCATTATTAGGTAGTAGTTGTAGTAGTAGTATCATCAGTAAGTATTAATGGTTGTAGTTTTGCATTATTAGGCAGGAAAGTGTTAGATAATTTGAAGTGGATGAAATAAGTAATGGCTGAGAAAGTCGAGATTTGAGCTTCATCTTATATCACAAAATTTAACCAAGGGACTTGAATCATCAAACTCCATTTCTTTAGTTCTTTGTAGATCTATAAATATGATGTTGCTAAATCGTATCTCGTCTACACAAATATCTATATCAATAACGTGTTTGGCCAGTCTTCTTCCTCATGTTGTTTTCCTTACTGAATGAGATTTATGGTACAGCCACCTCTCGGCCACTCACCAGTCAACAAATCATGTATTTCTTTCCTCCTCTCTACCAATATTAACTAAAGTCTCCCCCCTTCCCCATGACAGATGTTGAGGCGAGGCAGCGAGGCGGGAGGAAGAGGCAGCAAGGAATCCGTGCTGGAGGGCGTGGTGGCGGGACTCGGGCAAGACGGGGCGGGGCTAGGTCAAGATGGGGCGGGGCGGGCTAGTGTCACGGGGGCGTCTCCCAAGATCAAGTGAGGTCTCCCCTTACCACATCCTTCCCCTGCCCATCCTACCCTTCTCCTATCCCCTTCCACCATAACGACCACCGCCGCCACCACCACCCCCGCCAAACCCACTCCCACCACCTCCGGAGTATTCAATTTTCTGGACATACTCAGGGTGGTGGGTCCAGGAGGGGAATTTTACTATGTATATTTTGTAATAAAGGTTTTGTATTCCTTTGACTGTTGTTTAAGATTTACCCACAAACAAGGGTATGGGGCACAAACAAAGGTACTATGAAGGCTGAGGTATAGGCCTACCATATGAAAAATTTATCAAAATTTTAAGTAGAAAGTGTACCATAGACAAAAGGTAAAAAGTCTACTTGAGGTAAATGAACGAGTCTATGATGATAACCACAAGTGAAGACGACCTACAGGGTAAACCAACAGAAATAACACCAAAATATATTAAAGTTTTGTGTAATTCTTTTGTGTTTTGATTTTGTAAATATGTTCTGCATATGAGCTTAAACCTATTGATTTAATGCCATAACAGGAAAACGATAATTGACTATGGCTGCTGAATATCTTATTTTATACTTCCAAAATATTGTTTTCCTTTTTTATGGTAAACTAAAACTTCATGGTAAATAAGAACGAAAATTAATCACTGGAATATAACCTTATTCGACTTACTCCTTATTTTATTGGCTTTTACCAATGATTTCCAACTCCATTATAAATAAACAAAACACCTGAATTACAACTCACCTTTTGGGTTGTCTGTCTTATACAGAAATCCTCGAAATATGAATTATGATTCCATTTAATAACACAACGCAACTACAATATGCTACCAGTGCAGGCAACATTAACACGCTTCCTCAGACCAGCCAACATTAATACATTCTGAAAGTCACTGAATTTTTTTAAACAAGTAGGGAAGGAGTAGAGAGGTGAGGAAGGGGGGGCGGGGGAGGTAGTGAGGGAGGGAGAGAGGGAGGGCCGGAGGGGTGGAGAAGGAGGCAGATTAATAACAAGGGCGTGGCTCTGTTTTATATCACTAAATCCACATGAACTTCTGTACGAGATAAGACGACAGATAAAGCAACACTGACGACCTATTATTAAACAACGCTCAAGTTCTCCTATACGTACAAGCTGAAGATTATCTATTAATATAACCACTTAATTTTATCCTTTCATTTACTTATCCATTAATTTACCGTTATACTATTTTTATCATCTTTGTTTTGTTTTTATACGGATTCTCTGAGGTCCACCACCACCACCACCTCCTCCGACCCTCCCTTGTCTCTACCCCACAATATACTGTAGCCCGGTGGTGTTAATTCACTACACATACAGTAGTAAGGCGGGAGAAGGCATCATCAGGGTTCACTTCTCCACAGCAGTAGTAATGAGAGGAACGTGTCCTGATCCTCGTCATTATCACCCCTTACCCCCTCCCCTCCTCTCCCCCCTCCCCCTGGATGACAAGGCACCATCACGCTCACGAAATACGGCCGGAAAATAAATGGTTTACTATCAATTAAAAAAAAATTGTAGTGAAGGAAGAATCACGTGATATGAAAATGGTAGTAATTTAACTGGGTGGTAGTGGAAGGAAAATTACGAGAGGAAAAAAACAGTGGCATTTAAAATCAAAATAACAATATAATGTTGAAGGGAATATACTTAAATCTGTCTGTCAGTGTCGTAATGAAGAGAAAATGACGTGACATTAAAGTAAATTTACCAAAAAATAAAAATAAAAAATCATGAAAAATAAACGATATTACTGGAGAAATGTTATTGAGTCGTCCATCCGTATTGTCTCAGTGTAGGGTATGGTCACGTAAGGATCAAGTCAGGTCATGTTAAGGCTAAGTCAGGCCAGGTTAACGTTAAGTCAGGCCAGGTTAACGTTAAGTAAGGCCAGGTTAAGGGTAAGTTAGATTAGATCCGAGAGTCTCCCGGGGGTGTGCATCACTCAGCTGGATTATAAACCGCGACAGGAACACTATGCCCCTGAGAGGAAGAAGTCGATTAGGCTGACTACATCAACCTCGGGGTAGCGGCTGTAGCACCAAACCCGTGATGAGTAATAACATAGTAGGTCTCATAGGTAGTGGGTCTCAGAGGTAGTGGGTCTCATAGGTAGTAGGTCTCAGAGGTAGTGGGTCTCATGGGTAGTGTGTCTCATAGGTAGTAGGTCTCATAGGTAGTGGGTCTCAGAGGTAGTGGGTCTCATAGGTAGTGGGTCCCGGAGGTAGTGGGTCTCATAGGTAGTGGGTCTCAGAGGTAGTGGGTCTCATAGGTAGTGGGTCTCAGAGGTAGTGGGTCTCAAAGGTACTGGGTCTCGGACGTAGTGGGTCTCATGGGTACTGGGTCTCATTGGTATTGGGTCTTAGAGGTACTGGGTCTCATAGGTAGTGGGTCTCAGAGGTACTGGGTCTCATAGGTAGTGGGTCTCAGAGGTAGTGGGTCTCAAAGGTACTGGGTCTCGGACGTAGTGGGTCTCATGGGTACTGGGTCTCTTAGGTGTCATGTTACCGCTTGCTGTGCGTTTAGAAATTAAATCACTCAGGGACCAGACTGTGTTTATCATATATATAAATGTGGCTCATTGTGTATGAAGCTGTTCAAAGCATCTGGACTAGTGTTAAGACTAAGGTTCATTAAAAGCTTCAAAAGTGTTCAACATTTTAGTTAATTAGGAGCGAGTTTGATGAGCCAGCAAGTTAAAATCTTATCTAATAACCTGTTGAAGGCTTGTAAGAACTAGTGTAATTAAAATGTCATTAAAATCTTTTGTTATGTCTCCTAGAGACTGCACCATAAGAGCAAAACTTGTACCTCGGCAACTCAAAACTCATTGGATGTTTATCATAGCGGCTATATTGAACTCTGGATCGAAACAAAGGCCACAGGACTGGTGATGTACTCCCAGAGTCTGAAAAATATTACAGATAGACACACACGCAGGGCGCCATGTTAACAGCTCACGAGGGTCGAAGTCATTTGAGGTATAAAATTGTATAGCGGTCGTGTTCAGGATAGTTTTCTCAAACCGACTACCTTATTCACAGTGTGGGCCAGGTACTGCACTTACGTCACACTGTCTGCCGGCGACCAGACCCTCTTGTTTGTTTACCAACTTAAGGATGACAAATGTGCTTGACGGCTTTATGTGTTAATTCCCTCGTTTGTCATGCAAGGGGAATAAATCACCAGTATTTTTACACTGAGGCTGTTAAAGTGATGGGGAGCTCACTAAAACCGGGACCTTAACTTAACCTAAACTAACCTCAGCATTACATAATTTAACCTAATTTAACCTACCCCAGACACAACCTAACCTAATCTAACCTAACCAACCCCTGACAATACCTGACCTAATCTAACCTAACCAACCCCTGACAATACCTGACCTAATCTAACCTAACCAACCCCTGACAATACCTGACCTAATCTAATCTAACCAACCCCTGACAATACCTGACCTAATCTAACCTAACCAACCCCTGACAATACCTGACCTAATCTAATCTAACCAACCCCTGATAATACCTGACCTAATCTAATCTAACCAACCCCTGACAATACCTGACCTAATCTAACCAACCCCCCTGACCTAATACCCTGACCTAATCTAAACCAACCCCTGACAATACCTGACCTAATCTAATCAACCAACCCCTGACAATACCTGACCTAATCTAACCTAACCAACCTGACAATACTGACCTAATCTAACCCCTGACAATACCTGACCTAATCTAACCTAACCAACCCCTGACAATACCTGACCTAATCTAATCTAACCAACCCCTGACAATACCTGACCTAATCTAACTTAACCCCTTCGTTATCGGCAATTACATGAACAAGAAGAGACTCGTAAAGGCGTGAAAGTTAACATGGACGACGAAACTAGGAAAATTTTTGAACGAGGTCCATCAAAGGGACACACTCATATAACATGACTCACAGCCTCTTAAGTAACTATGGTAACAGTGTTTACCTTGACCTTTATCTCCAGACCGGCTGACATGAGTTTGGGTGTATGAGGTCAGTCTGATATTTCACTTTAAGGATTATTTCATGTTATAGTTCGTATTACACTTAAAAAGAATTCATTACATATCATGAAGATCCGCTTAGTTACAAAAGTACAAAAGAAATCTTGAGCCTGCAATTACGATAAGGTTACCGACTTAGAGCCCACGGTCACACTTACAAAGAGCTTCAGAGAGAATATAACGTGATTACGATAACACGAGATCCTTTTGTTGCTCGGCGGCGATACTACTGTAAATCAGGTTAAGTGAGACTGGTTTAATTTCAGTTCAGGTACTGGAGTTAATCTTAAAACAATACAACCATAAAACACGACTTAATAGTTCACCAGGTTGTCTGGTGATCTAAAGGCGGATCTTGTTATATTCTCGTAAGTGTTTGAGGGTTATTACAAAAAATCGTTGCTTTTTGGGGTTTTTGTTGTGGTCGAGGTCTGTCTTTTAGGTGAGCACAACAAAAAAACCCCAAAACAACGAATTTTTGTAATAACATATACTGTACACGTGTGTCTATGTGTAAAAAAACGACTTAAGAATTTAAAAGGCTTTAACGTCAGACGTAGACATAAATTTTAAACATGCATAAGTTTTTTAACGTGTATTAATACGCCCACCAAACTACCACCGTCAAACCGAAAATTGATAGAAAGAGATTCTCGACGAACTTGGTAAGAATTACCATAAGTAATGATGTATTGCAGATTTACTCTTGTAGAGGAGACTATTTATATATTTTCCAGTCGTAAATTTTGTGACTTCCTCAGCTGAAGAATTTATGATTGGATATAAGAGTTCCATCAGAAAGGAATTATAGTATTAAAAATAATAATAATAATGATAAACATGAAGGAAACACCCGGGACACACCATGTTGAATCTTCAATATATAATATCCCTAAGAACACAAATATGATGATGATCTAGGGAAAGACGAGACAACTCACCCAACAGCCTATAGTAAAAAAACAGGATGAAATACGCTCGACCTTAAGAGGAAATGAGAGCTGGGCATAATGTGAGCCGGGGAGGAGGAGACGAAGAGATATAATCAACAGTGTGTGGAGACGGCCGCCAGGGGAAGAGGGATGGGTGGGGGAGTGAGAGGGAAGACCGACGTGAGGCGACGGAGGTCGTCTTAATCTGAGTCTGGTAGGAA